CACATCCACCAAGCCTGCGCTTGCCCCAACTGGAACCCTACCACACACACCTGCATCCCCTTGCCCAGCAGCAACACCCCCACCCCGGCTCCCACTACTAGCAGACGAAACACCATCACCTACCCGGCGCCATACAACCCCCCTGCTCCGAGACCTGCATCCCGCCGGGGAGGCCCTCCTGGTACCCAACCACCACCACCACAACAACAACCCTTCCCACGCTCCATCCTCCGCGCCCCCCGAAGCAGAAGGAGTCCCTCCCCGCGCGGCCCACGCCGCACCAGCAATACCACCTCCACCAGCAACACCAGCAGCAGGGCAGTAACAGTCATCGTCCCCTCCCCCGAGTCCTCCGACCTGGACGAGCCCCGGGCCCTACCGCGTCCGCGTCCCCGTCCAGGCGGGGGTGGGGGTGGATATGCCGGTGCGAGCAGTAGGTCAGGCACGATCACGGTCGGCATATGCGACGGGTGCCTGACGCGTCGGAAGCTGGTCTGGGAGGGCTTTTGTGAGGAGTGTGAGGTCTTTGTTGGGGACGATTCTTCTCTCCCTCCTCTTCCTCCTCCTCCGCCTCGGAGGCCGTCGTCTGGGTTTGGGATGGGGGGGACAAGGGAAGGGGGTGGTAGGCCGATGGGGTCGGGGGCGTGGACTGGGTATGGGGATGGGAATGGTAATCGGGATCGGGGTGGGGTGAGGTATGTGCCTGTGGGGAGGGGGGGTTTGAGACAGCGGGAGAGGGAGAGGGAGCGGGAGAGGGAGAGGGAGCGGGAGAGGGAGATTGAGTTGGAGATTAGGGAGAGGGAGAGAGAGCGGGAGCGGCAGATCGAGGCGATGAGGGATGCTGGGAGGAGGGGAGTGAGGTGGGAGCAGGTGTTGAGCGTCAGTGACGGAGGGAGAGATAGGGGATATTACCCTGGCGAGGGAGGGGCGTACTACAGTGATTCTGAGGGCGAGAGCGGGTGGTAGAGATGGCTTTTAAAGAGAGTTTTGGTTGCAGGAATGTTCATGGGTATTGCCAGGGGCATCATGATTTACGCAAGCCACGAGGTCACGACGCACACGATTTATACCCTCATATAGAACAGCACGATAAAAACGCATGGCTTGGGAGGCATAGTTTCAGTATTTCACATAGTACTCGGCTCTAGTCAAGAAATCAGTCGAGCATATAGATTTAGGTGGTAATGTCTTGTGCTGGATGCACATCCCCGTCCACTACTCGACGACGATAACCGGGGCGATGCTTCCATCATCATTACCAGAACGGACATCTACCAGGTAGTTTAGAAGGCTACATGAAATTAGGAGGGCATGTAGTTTGAGGTGTGCCACAGGTGCAAACATAAAGGGTTCCGGACTATGTCGCCACTCTGCGCGCTGTTTGGGTATGACATCTTACATCTTATGACGTACCTCCACCAACTTCAAACAACTTCAACCCACATAAGACGTGAGACCTGCCCAAAGACCTCACTGGAACCTCACTTAAACCAGCCTTATTCAAACTCCGATATCCCACAACCACATCTGAGCCGTATTCACCTAAAAAACTCTAACAGCCTACTCAGATTCTGCAACATGACCACGCCAGCAGAACCCCCGCCGTCCTACGAGCAGGCTGTCCACGGCGGTCCTGACTCCCTCCCGCAGCAAGCCCGCAACGGCATCCCGCTCCACGCCCGGCGCAGTATGGAAGACGAGCTCCGCCCGCTCCCGCAAGGGTGGGTGCGGGAGTTCGACCCAGAAACCCAGCACCAGTTCTTCGTCGACACCATGGCCTCGCCGCCGCGCTCCATCTGGCACCACCCCTACGACGACGACACCTACCTCGACTCGCTCCCCCCCTCGGAGCGCGAGCGGGTCCGCGCTGCCCACTCGGGCCCGCCCCGCCGCCCCAGCGCCGCCGACATCGCAGCCGAGGACACAGACGGCGACTCCGACTCCGGCGGCTCATCCCACCACAACCAGGAGAAACGCTCCCTAGGCCGCAAACTCAAAGACCACCTCACGGGCACGACGCACGAGGAGCGCGCGGCCGAGCGCTCCCGCCGCGCCGCGGCCGAGCACGAAATGTACCGGCAGCACCGGCTCGTGCGCCACGCCATGCTCGAGGCCATGCGCTCTGGCCGGCCGCAGCTGCTCGGGCGCGACGAGAACAGGGTGCATGTGTACCTCGAACCGCCGGGGCATACCTTCCCCGGTGTGACGGGCGTGCGCCGGCTGAGTCCGTACCTGAGCGAGGTTGTGTATGATGGGAGGGATGGGAGGCGGCCGGGGCCGCAGGGGCGGTATCTCCGCCCTGAGGGGGATATGTACGGGATGGGGTATGGCGGGTATGGGTGTGGGAGGTTTGCGGGGGGGAGGTGGGATCGGCCGGGGGTCGAGTATATGAGGATGCCGGGGAGGGGGTATGGCGGTGGGTTTGGGATGCCGTTGATGATGCCGATGATGGGGGGGATGATGTTGGGTGGGCTGATGGGTTCAGCGTTTTGAGAAGGAAGGGGGCATAGTGCGGGTGGCTGCGCTGGGGGTTCTTTGCCGGAATCTTTGATGTATTAGATGTATGGGATTTCACACTTCGGCGGCCAGGTGTTCGTGTTGGTAAGGCACCTTCTGGGTCAACTGGTATTACTTAAAGAACCGCTCGTGTATTATTCTAGGACCAGTGGTTGATGCAAGGTGCAAGGGAAGTGCTGGTAGCCTGAAACCCGTCTGTCAGTAGACTACCCCCGTCTCCATCATTAATTATCGGCCAGGACAGAATAAGTTGTTGCGGATCATACCATCTCAAAAGTTATCCAGGCATTGTACTGCCTCACGATGACTTCGGCACCCACCCGGGCTCCGCAAGCTGGAAGCCGGCTGGGTCGAACCCCGGGGCAACTAAGCAACAGTCAGCCAGCGCTCACTCCAACAGTTGACAACTCCACGTTCAAACCTACCAGTCGTCCCAACAAGCGTCCAGTCCCCCCAACTCCTGGCCCGCTGCCACTCCCACTTCGCAATGGCGAGCTGCGGCTGCTGTCCGGCAAACACATCCGGCCCCAGATTCACCTCCCGCACGGGTGACCCGTCGTCAAGCGCCAGGGACAGCGTCAGGGGCGCGCCGGCGTAGTAATGCCACACCTCGACGGCATCGACGCGGTGCCAGTAGGAGTAGCCCTCGGCGCCTTCGAGGAGGTAGTAGATGGCCGTGCTGGCGGAGCGGTTGGCCGTGACGTTGGCTGTGTCGCGGAAGGTTTCGACGTAGTAGCCCTTTTCCAGGTTGGGCATGAGGTTGAGCTGGGTGATGACTTCCTGGGCGGTCCACTGGTTGATCGGTGTTGGGTCGTAGGTCGGCGGACTCCGGACTTGCCGGGCAGTTGGCGGCTCGGGGACGGCGGCGTGGGATCCTGTCAGGCCGAGGACGGCGGCAAGGCGAAAGGATAGGCGTGTCATGTTGGCGGGTGGTTTTGCCGGCACAATTTCTGTTAAGTTGTGTCCATGCAGTAGTGCTTGGGAGAAGGGCAGAGGAAGGTTTGACTGTTTATTTGGCCTATTTTTGTCCAGCGGTGATCTCGGAACCTTCCTTCCCGGTCATGTCGATCCATCAGAGGATTGTCAGCTGGTGCTTGTGCAACATGGCGCAGCTTGCCACCGACCACAGAAGGCTAGACCGGATACCCTGTTACCGGTGTCCATGATTCGCCCTTTCTAGTACTGTAGGTAGGTAAGCAGACCGAAACGTGGCATCTAGGCTGTAAAGTCTTAAAGTCTGACAGACTTATATAAGCCCCTGGGTCATACAGAATTATGAGTGCGCCGCACGCTGCTGGCAACTTGTTTGTGGCTGAAAATTGGAAGAACTGCCGTCTGGGTAAATAATTTGTTTTTTTTTGCCCACTAATTATGCTGTGTTGCCAGGCGGGGAAGTTCGAGTCGCGCCGAACGGAGCCGATCCCAACTCGTATGTCAACTCTTCCGTCGTACATCTGCGTCTGCTTCCAGTTTTAAGAACCCCAGATAATTAATTCCTGTGAAGATTTGTATGTCGAGCAGCAGGCAGCCTTCTTTCGGCATCTTGGAGACGCCCATCTTCTACATTGAGGTATGGATAGTCAATGCTAACCCGTCTGATAATTGATTGCGCCTTATCTGTCCTCTTAACCTTTCATAACACCGCTGACTTCCAAGAGTATCTTGCCCCAGCCAAAGCCAACACAATGACAAACACCCGCTCCCACCTCGACCCCGAGCTCTTCGGGCTCTGCGTTCAGGCCTTCGCCGCCATCCCCGCCACCAACGACAACCACACCGTCGCCGCGGCAGTCCGCAGCCGCGCAGGCAAGGTCTTTGTCGCCATGAACGTCTACCACTTCACAGGGGGGCCCTGCGCCGAGCTCTCCGTGCTCGGCACCGCTGCCGCAGGCGGGGTGCTTGCCGACGAGATCGAGACCATCGTCGCCGTGTGCAGGAGGGAGGGCAGCGTTTTCAGGGTTATCAACCCCTGTGGGAGGTGCAGCCAGACAATGCTCGACTATAACTCGGATATCAAGGTTATTGTTGTGGACCGAGCCGGAAAGGAGGTGGAGGCTAGAGTTGGGCACTTGATGCTGTATCCGTCTGTCTGGGAGGACGGGAACACGGGGAGGGAGGAAAAGAGAAAGGCATTGGATGCGGCTCAGAGGTGAGGTTAGAGGAGACGAACGCGCTGCTCCTGAAAAGCTACTTGTTCCTGGCACATTTACCTGGTTCGTGGTAGAATTGTACCTACAGTGACATGAAAAGATGTTTGATTGTAACAGTTTGTGGGAACATATCAAACGAAGAGAAATATAAGTGCCAACACTGCCATCCAATGAGTCTCCAAGATAAAAGCCCTCATGAGCGCCTCTTTTGCAAATGCGCCCACCCATGTCGACGTTTGCCCAAGTGTTGATCAAAGTCGTGATCTCGGGGGCTCTGAAAATTTGGCCTTCTTCCTTCATAAGCACTTGGTGTTGGCGCCCATTCAACTTGAAGCCTGCTTAGCATAGTGGCTAATGCGTTGCACTTGTATCCTCGACGACATGCAAAGATCACAGGTTCGATTCCTGTAGTAGGCATTTCTTTTGCACCCCCGTTCTCTGTCCCCTTTTTTTACCCCTGAACCCCTGAAATTCCATTTTCTATGAACATGCAGCAAGAAAGAATGTGGGCTGTGTTTCTCCCCGCCCAACTGCTAGAAAAGGCCCAGCTCGCGGCACTTCCGCTCATACCAATCGTCCATGTACTGCTCTCGGCGGCGAATCTCTTCGGGGATCGGCGGCGACGCGTTCCTCACCCAATCTGGTCGCACAGGGCGCACAGTCGCACGACGCGCCCCGGCCTCAACGTCCGAGTAGTCCGGTAGGTCATCCGGAGCTGGAATCTTTTTAGGATACTTGGGCCTGACTTGATCCAGCTCCCTCTCGGGCGTTCCGGCGCCCACGATGTGCGCCTGGCGGATCCTGACGCAGCGCCGACGAAAGTTGGAAAAGCGAACTTTCGTCTCCCGCTTCAGCTCCCCCTTGACTTTCGCCCAATCCCGTCGGTGGTGCTTGGGTTCGCGCAACATGCTGTGGTACGGCATGTAGGCGTTGGACGGCTGCGTCCAGCGAACCGACTCCTGCTTGCCACTGTGGACGTAGCTGTCGAGGTAGCGGTCGGCCATGGCGATCATGGTCCCAAACACAAAGTTGTTGCTCGGGAACGTCTCCCAGTTCTCCGCCGTTGAGCTCTCCAGCGCGTTCTCCCAATTCCAGATAAATTCCGCCATCGGCGCCAAGGTTTTGAACTTCTGCCAGCATGCCACGATGTCCTGGCTGTATTTGTTCATCCAGACGTCCGGGGTTGAATACTGGTAAACTGGATCCAGCAGATGCTCGTCCCAGCGGCTGAACAGTGATATGTCGGACTCCCTTGGGTCATAGTGTGGGTTGACTAGACGTAAGAGCGTGCCGCCGATGTTGGCCTTGTCCAACCACGTCGAGGGCTCGGGCATGCCCCTCCTTTTTCCCATGTCGCAGAGAAACTTGGCACGGTCGTATCGGTGTTGAAACGACAAGCCAAAGTCGCCGACAATGATTTGCGGCAGAGAGTCGGTAAATCGATTCAGCCGGGGGTCCGCCTTCCTCTCCTCGTCGGTTGGGTAGTGCAAGAAAATGTTGCAGCTGTGCAGGTCTTGGTGGCAGATGGGCTGCCAGCCGGGGACACTGCTCGCCTGGTCAACGGTACTCCCGGGCTGCCCAACCTCGTTCTGGTGATCCACGTTGTAGTTTCGCGACGGGATGTGCCCCGTATGCAGCCAGGAGATTGCCCGGCCGATCTCGGCAAGGACGTGCCAAATGAAGCCCTCGGGCACCTGCCTGCCCGCCTTGTGGTGACTTATGATGAAGTCATAGAGCGTTCCTCCGTTGTACCACTTGTAGATGACCGTGACATCGTCACGTGCATCATAGTTTCCCGCCAGCCTCCCAAGCACCCGCTTGTGAACCTGGAACGCGTGTAGCTGCGGAAAGGGAGTCAATCCCATGTTCTTATGATACAGCGGTAGTTGGCGGCGGACAGCCGGGTCTTGGGTGCTCAGCGTGCATTGTTCGATTTCGGGAGGCATCGGCAAGTCCTCATCGGCGGCTTGCTTGCGATACGGGATCTGGGGCAACTTCTTGATCACGACCAGCTCCTGAGGACGGTCGACGCTTGCGAAAAGCCCTACTCTTGCTTTCGCGCAACTCAAAGGGTGGGTGTCGTTTTGGTACCAGTGGAGAAAGATGAAGCCCTTGGGCCGCGCCTGCAGGTACTGAGACGATTCATTCTCCTTGTCGTCGACAAGGTGCTGTCGTTCAGGGATCTCGGGGACTCGGAGGGGGTAGAAGACCAGCGTCTGATGGGAATATTTGAGTCCAGGGTGAAACAGCGCCTTTTCAGAGTGAGACGACATGGTGAGCGGGAACTTGAAAGGTTTCTTGCGTAAGAGAGCTGAAAGTCCGACTCAGTTGAGCTCGAGGTTGGAAGGCGGCAAGTCGTTTGGCCTTCATGTTGGGAGTCGGGACAATCATGACTTGAAGAATACGAGGAGCTTCTTTGTCGCAAAGAGGCCAGTCTTTGCCTGCAGTTCCCACAAAGAGGTCATCCGAAAGCGTCACTGCCTCCCCGCGGCCCGCGTCGAGGGACAAAGAGGCTTGTTTGTCCGAGGAAGTAAACTCGAAGACCGTATTATGAGTGCCCATGTACTGCATGCAGTGAAATCGAGGCCTTTCTCTCCAATTCCTGCGACCCTTGTGCTAAAGGATTATCATCATCCATGTCTAACCGCGGGCCGCGTCAGATCCTCGTTGTCCACGCCATCTTTGTCTTCTAGGACCGCCTCCATGTCTGTGTTGTGGCGAATCAAATGCAACACCCTGTTGCTGCTTTGTGGCACTCTCTCGTAACTTCTTCCACTTGTCCGTGCCCATTTGCCGCCGCAGCTTCTAAGGTAGTAGCTGAGGTAAGCGGGAAGGCTTTGGACTTCACTTGATGACCGTGTCTTGGAGGACAATAATATCCTGTCGAGAGCTGTCCAGCCGTCGACAACGATTGCCTGGCCTCCTTGGCTTCCGTCAATGGTTCTGCACGGGACAACAGGCCACATAACCTCCGTAATAAGTCAGTAGATGGCCGAAGGAGGCGGTGTCGTGGGAAATGACCTGATGATTCTTGGCATGGAAGATTGGGGACCCAATTGCTGCCCGCGCAAACAAGCATCGGTACCTGGTACACCAAATCGCCCTTTTCGGGCAGTCGATCTTCGGGGACCGCGAGATCCTACAGACCAATCAGAGGGAGGACTGATGACGATCCTGGAAATCGACATGAATGAATCACGATGAATCCTCCTGGGCTGACCAGGACCTCCAGGCTGTGCGTGGCTGCGTGCTGCTCGGCAGCTCGGCAAGCCGGGCACTGCGTTGTCCATCGAGAGCATCATCGCAATACAATAACATAACACGGAGTTTGTATAAAGTCGACAGACTTCTCCAGATGTCGGGCAGGTTTTCCACTCACCTCATCCGCATCTGGCCTTCTCCTGAAGACGCCAACCACCATCCATCACAATGGCACTCTCCCGCTTCCTGACCCAACTTGCTCTGGCCTCGAGCGCCCTGGCCGTCCCCTTGTGGGTTCGTGACAACAACACCTCGCCGGGCATCAAATGGGGGTCATGCGACTTTGAGAGCGCAAACCTGGGCCCCATTGAGTGCGGGACTCTCGCTGTCCCTCTCGACTACACCGACGCTGCGTCGGGCGAAAAGCTCACGCTGTCCCTGATCAAGAGCCCGGCGCGCAGCAACGGGACGACAAGCAAGAGCATCCTGTTCAACTTTGGAGGGCCGGGCTATGAGGCGATTCACACGCTCAACAGCGCCGCCGACCTGCTGCACCTGTATGTATGCCCGAGCGTTTTTTCGTCATCAGTACGAACTGAGACTGCTTTAGGATGACGGGCGGCCAGCACGACTTGGTTGCGTTTGATCCTCGGTAATGATACGGCCCCCCCTTTGACTTGCTATCTACTGGCTCCAGTTTGTTGACACTCTATCAAGCGGCCTCGGCAAGACGCTCACCTTCTCGTGCTTTGACAATGCAACCGAACGAGCGCTGGCCATGGGCAAGTACCCCATCGAGCCCGTGGATTCTTACGAGAACGCGCTGGCGGACACCTATGCCAACATGCAGGCCTTGACTAATGTCTGCAATGAGCACAACAAGGGGAGCGAGAACCCCAAGTTCCTTGGCACGGCGTTTGTGGCCAGGGACTTGATGAGTGTTGTTGATGCGCTTGGGGAGGACGGCCTGTTGAGATTCTGGGGTGAGTCAAACTCTACTTCCCCCCGAAGCTACAGCTCTCGATCAAGTTGGCTGACCGAGGTATCAGGCTTGTCGTACGGCTCCCTCCTCGGCGCTACTGTTGCCGCCATGTTCCCCTCGCGCATGGACAGGGTTGTCCTTGATGGCGTTGTCAACGCTCCGAACTATTACCACCGCTTCGGCATCGACGTCGACCAGCTCCTCTCGGCGGACGCCGCCTTCCGCTCGATTCTGTCCCAGTGCATCGAGGCCGGACCCGCCAAGTGCGCCCTCGCATCCATCAACTCCACCGCCGCCGACCTCGAGGCCACTCTCTTGGGTGCGGCCGCCAAGTACGGCAAATTGCCCATCGCGGCGGGCAGCACGGTCATCAACTCGCGCCTCGTCAAGGAGCTGCTCTTCATCGTGATTAAGTACCCCGGCGACGTCGCCAACGCGGCCGTCCACATCAGCAACCTGGTGACGGGGACGAACCTGACCGAGGTGGCGGCCTACTACAACAAGTTATCGGGAGACATCGCCACGGGGAACGACGATGCTTTTTACGGCATCAAGTGCGGAGACACCATCCCGAGGGCCGAGTCGCTGAACGACGTGCTTCCCGACGCGGAGCGGATGATGGAGACGAGCGAGCTGTTTGGGCCCGGTATCGCGTCCATCGTCACGCAGTGCGCTTCGTGGCCCTGGGCGGCCAAGGAGCTGTATGGCGGTCCGTTTAAGGGGATCAGGACCAGGACACCGGTTCTGCTTTTTGGGAATACGTATGATCCTGTCACGCCACTGGCGAGCGCCAAGAATATGAGCGCTGCCTTTGAGGGGAGCGTGGCTGTTGAACAGCATGGCTTTGGCGTAAGTTGCTCTTCTTTTCCATGACTCAACTCAGTGTGGGATGACTAACACGTGGTTATAGCACGCTACGATATCTCAGCTTTCGAACTGTACCATGCAGGTCATGCAGGCGTACTGGGCGGATGGGACTCTGCCAGCAGAGGGGACGGTGTGTGAGCCCAACACTCCGCTATTTCGTTGAGAGCGGGTGATGGCTTGCCATACTTGGATTGGGAGTCAGGGGGTGTCGTTTCTTGGATGTTTGTGTTACTAGACAGTTACTAGATTTGATAGAGACAGTGCAGCGAAGGATATCATACACTGCATTGCAAACGCCACTCTACATGTAACAGAATCCTAGCGGCCACTGCACATTAAGTACTTGGCTAGTTTGCTCCCGATTCCC